GTGTGGTGTACCTGAGTACCTCTGGGCATTTAAGGGAATAAGAGCAGAATGAGCACCATAAGCCCAGTTTAAATTTCTCAGGGATCCTGTGATGCAGTCTGCTTGAGCAGAGCCCAGCTCTGTTCCCCRTTCTAGCTTGCTATAGTGTCTTTGGCAGTCCCCTCCATTGCCCTTTCTCATTCTGTAAAAAGAAATGCTGCATATACAGGCTTAAAGCACTCTCAAGTGCTATAAAACTTCCAGATATTATTGTTACTCCTGAAGAGCTTTGAAAACRCATTCAGCACATGCTCCAACTCTCTGAGCTCTTGGAAAGATTTGTTCTTTCCTGATTTTTCGGAACTATTGGCATATAGTTAAGCTTGAAGAGCCAGCTGTTTCTTTTCTTACAGCACACCAATTCTGCGACTGCAGCAAAGTGTGGAATTGGCACAGCTTTTTAAAATAAGCCCGGAGAGAGTCTTGCTAGAGCAGTGCAAGGTCATTCAACTTGTTTCACAGTGGGTTAGATTAGCCTATGCTCAGTGCCCTGCTGCACAGGGTTTGCTCACTGATAAAAAAATTGTATTGAAAATTCACTAATTTGTGACTTGCTCAGTCATCCGTCTATACCACAGAGATGGAAGCACAGGAATATTCTTAGATTGTGTTCAGGGTTTTGAAGATTTCCAATTTGCTGGGTAAAATTTGCTTGTCTTTTTTTTTTGTCCTGTACACTTCAAATATCAGAAAGACAAATAAATAGCTGAGCTATATCTTTGGCTATCAAAATTTTTGTCTTTGAAACTGATCTCTCCTCCACAGAGGAGATTGCCTCACCAAGCATAGAGCACAGCCAACCCCTTCCCTTGGCTTTTCAGAAATCCAATCCTAAAGGATAGAATCCTAGCCAGCCCGCTGATCAAAGCATGAGTGTATCTGAGAAAGGAGAATAGATGTACTTGTGATGTGAGTAGATGTGAGCTGTGATGCTCAGAAACAATCAGCTGTTCACAAATGTACTTCATCTTGCTTTTTTTCCCCAGACAGGCTCTTGGAGGAGACAGGACAGATTYGAGGCATCAATAGTTCTTTTTAGCRTGATGATATCTTGGTCCAAGCCATGTCAGCAAGACAGCTGGTGGATTTGATTTATAGAAAGCCATGCATTACAGGATCTAAGATATAAGGCTGCATTGTTTGGGATTTAAATATTCCAAAGAGAAARTGATTTGCTAGTTTATCACACAAGAAACTGTAGCACTGGCTTCCTATGTAGTAAAAATACCTGCTGTAACTCCTGACTATGGAGGGTCCCTGCACTGGGATTTATTCCGTGGCTGCAGGATTTACCCGAAGCATTGTGCTTTCTCACTCGAGGATGTTGTTGCCTTGAGTGTACTGATTCAGCCACCACGTATTTTGGAGGAAATGGAAGAAATCCATGTACACCTCATAGCTTTGTCATGAACAAACAGAGAAAGATATAAATGCGTTTTTTTAAAAAAATCTGTCCAGCAAACAAATCTGATCTGATACTGAACATTTCTTTTAAATTCAGCTAAGGAATAATATAAGTGAAAAATCTGTTAAAACAGATACTTAGTAAGCATCAGAACAAAAGATTTAGATGCTTTTCAAGTTATTGCTTTGCTTTAATTATTTGGTGATAACACARTGATATTCTGGGGTACTTTTCTATCACTACATCGGTATTTTTCTGAAAAGGGTTTGTGGTTAATCTGTCCAGCTTTAAAGGCAAATGCAGATGAGTATTTTAGACAGTGGTCGTAGTTGGTTTGAAACCTATTTCTATTTGCATGTGATGCTCAGTTCTCCATGTTGACACCAGTAATTGCTCTATCTGCATCTTTCTTTAGCAAAACTTGTCTTCCTACATACACTTGTTATATGTCAGAATCTAAAGTTTAACCTCTGCTCAGGTGAACACTGAGGGATCCTCATTACAGCAAGAGTCTGTTCAGTCTCCTCTTCTTGCTGGGCTGCCTTGTGTCTTCTGTAAAGAACAATTCCTGCTGGCACTGATTACTGAAAAAGATGTCCAATATCGCTAATATCTTCAGCCCTTGTATCCCAGGAAGAAAAAGGCAGTTTACACTTCCTGGGTCTGCATGGGGCAGATGTTCTCAACTCTTCCAGGCCATACTGGTGCATCCATGAGGTGCAGGGCATCTGTTTCAGGTCTGAAGCCACTGCTTTCACTTCCAGCACTGGYTGACAGATGGCAGCTCTCAGGTCTGCAGCCTTTGCTTAGGTGTGCTCTGCGATCTCCTAACATTGACTCACCCTGCATCTCGAGAGCGTGGCTGCGCAGTATTTTGGGTAAAGTGCAGTACTCTGCTTGTTCTTACTGAAAACCAAAAACCTTTCTCTGGAAAATGTTACTCTTCAAAGCTATACCACAGATGTGCTGCTGTGGGTATGTGCTGCACTTGCCATTCTGGAATATTGAATGTCAATAATGAAAGAAGCCCTTTTTTATTTATTAAAGAGTATGGGGATATGTCACAGGTTAGAGCTCTGGATGAGGACTCACCCTTCATTAAAATGGATTTATATGCCTATGCTCAGTTAGTTTTACTGGGGTTTATGTGTCATGCTTCGGTGTTAATTGTGGGTTATTCTCATCACACTGACTTTCATCAGGAATARGCTGTACTTTAGCAATCATATTATTCACCCTTATGTGTGGTATTCACACATCTGTAATTTAACCCACATCCATGATATTTGATAGCATAAAGGAGACAATGAGTACGATTCAGCTCTTGGATTAAGATGGTTTAACATTCAGCAGTGGCCTTGCAGTTAGTGGAGCCTAGAGATTAAATCAGCACTCACAGAAAATGCCCCTTTAAAGTGTTACTGCTACTGATGGTAGCAGGAGCTTGGATTCTGAGTGCACAGAGAGCCACACACAGACCTGCATTTGAGTATCATAATCTGCAAACTGGACCCTGCATTTCAGTCTGCCAGAGCTTTTTCCCGAGGCTTTATTTTTCCCCTGCCAGACTAACAGGCTGAAACTGCTGAGCTATTTCACCTCATGAAGGCCTGCTCTATCATCTCTAATTGAGGAATGTGGGTGGAATATGTTCCTGTCAGATCATGGGGAAGAAAACCACCTCCAAAACCCAATCCACCTCCAATTCAGATCTTTGGTGGCTGAATCACCCCCTGAAGAGGTGTCTCCTATGCTGTCTGTGCAAGGAGCATAGGGGGCAGCTCTCTGCGGCCTCTCAGCATGATGCTAACAGACAGAAAATTAATGCATACACTACAGACTTTTTGGGAATATGCCTGGCTGGTCAGCCCACTCCAAGAGAACTGAGAGCATGAAATTTGTTGGRTTCAAAGGCTGTCTAACCAATTTGACTTCACTGTACTCTGAGTCACTCCTGGTGGTCGTTTCCACAGGCTTCTCAAGTGTTTTTGCTTCTGAGGAGAGGATGGATTCATCCTCATCATGCACAGACCTTAATCAAATACCAGTTCGATGAAATTACTGGGATAAGAACAAAGACAATTYTGTGAATTAAAAACTGGGGAATCTCTGATGGAGAAAGCATGTTCACTTCCTTTTCAGCTGGAATTCTAGGAATAAGCTTCCCCCTCATCCAAAAAAAAAAAAAAATAGAAATGTTATTTGAGGTCAGATATGTTTAAAGTAATGCCAGTTTTGGAATCTCACCTTTTTGCAAAATAAAGRAGCTGTTTTCCTCATCTGTCCCCAGTACAGAGAGACCTGTGAAAACATTCTATTTCCACAGTCCAGTACAAAGCAGCAGTAATTGCTATGTTAGTGTGTGTTTCCTTACCAGTTCTTTGAATGTTCCCCATGTGGCCCTGATAAGTATGAGATACAAAATGTGTGTATCTGCATAGTGACTTGGAATCAGCTTACTGCCCAGGAGAGTTYTCTAATGTTAGTGTTATCACTGGTGTACACATTTACCAAGACCTGATCCTGCAGGTTGGACAAATGTTAAGAAAGGTAGGAAGCACTTTTAAAAGGAGAGGACTGTTCTGGAAATAGGATTTGGACTGAGTACTTCAAACACAGAAAGCAGTAAATTTATTTCCCATATACTGTGTGCCTGAAGACATTGACAGTAATAAAAAGCACTAGAAGGCTGGATGCTCTCAGAGGTAGCATTGTTTTCATAGATTAGCAAAGTTCCTTCTTTGTTTCTGGAGAGCTTATCTACATCAACAGCTTTTCTTTCCCTTTCAGAGAATTTGGAAATTGTTTTTTTACATGATCGAAATACCCTAACAATTGCAGAGACAGTCAGGGCATGATAAGAAAACAACACAAAAGAAAGATGGTCCTACTGAGRATAGAGGGAGCTAATTTCAGGCAGTGCAAAGTAAAGGTGAAAGTAAATAGAAAAAGGATTGGAAAGTCTTGGCAAAAAAAAAAAAAAGCTCTTCTGTGCCAAGCAGGGAGATGTTGGACATAAACAGAAAATAAAACTTTAGTGACTTGTACGTTGTCCAGTTATGAATAATGTCAGTTGATRTAATGCTTTACAGATACATTAGTGAAATATTTTTCTTTGAAACAGTAGTGGAGACTGAAGTATTGAGTATCACCAGTACAGAAATTGGAATGGTGCTATTATGTCTGCAGTGTAGTGAAATGCTAGCCTAAAGAAAGAAGTGTAATGCTAGCCCAACGAAAGAAGTGTCCACAAAATTCTTTCTTTCCTCCATACTTCTCCTCCAAGGCATCACAGTTTTTTGTCCTTGAAGACAAACACACCCAAACAGTAGTTTTTTTGCCTAAACATACTGTGCCTGTGTCCTGGGGGTGGCATATCAATGGTGGAAAGTGTGTTCAGATATAGGCACACCAATGTGACCACTTGGTCCTGTGACTGGCGTCCTTCCCCTGTGACTTTGTGTTCATGTAGTTTTCAGGCATAGGTGGGAGCTGTCTGTTCCTACCTTTGAGTAGCTGAGGATCCTAGAAACTGATCTGATATGTCTTTGTTTAGATGACTTCATGAAGCAGGGTCACGGCGTGCTCCTGCTCTACACCCTGAAGAACCCCTCCTTTCCAGAGTACTCCTTCAGCAGYGAGAGTGGTGTCATGTGCCTGGACTTCAACAGTGACCACCCCTCCCTCCTGGCAGTGGGCTTCTATGATGGCGACGTGGCCATCTACAATCTGAAGAAGACAACTCCCCAGCCCAGCTACAAGAGCAAGTTAGGAAAGCACACAGAGCCAGTGTGGCAGGTAAGGATGCTTTTCCTTTCCTGTGACTGGGTTTTGAATTGGACTGAGTTTAGGCACAGCAGAAAATGCCATGTATGGGGGAAGGGTGCTGTTTTAGTATATGTGATTGATTAAATTGTATTTCAAGCTAATTTCAAAATATATGCAAAGGCAAAGCAACTGCATGAATCCTTGTTCCTCATCAGAAATTAAACATGTAAGCAAAAGTTTGCAATAATTAATTAYTTCTCCTTAGTTTTCATTATTACAATTAACTTCTTTTTGAAGARCTGGTATCCTCTGTATATACCAACACTRTTTKATGTTCCAAACAGAAAATCACAGGRCAGCAARTGATAAGCAGGGYATAAAAACAAGTAAAACAAKTATACCAGCCTAAAASAGGGCTCTGTTGGGCACAATAARTCCAGGGACAGCTGCCTGTTTAACTGGCKACTTGAAGGATTCCAGGCACACTACCTTGTAGCTGGCCTTTTAGTTGACTTGAAGTACTCTAATGAATTCATAATTGTGATGTGCATGTGATGTTCTTCAAGYAATGCCTCTCTGGCATCTGTCACAAAGAGCCACCAGATGGATGGTGCTGTGAAGGGTCAGGGTGAATATGTTGCTACATCCAGATAACTAGTTATGTCTGCAATGTAATCTGAGCTCAGATTGAAGCACTGGAAGGTGTATGCTCTTTTGATCTTGTTTGTAGCAGTAGAARTGTGGCAGCACATGTTTCAACACGGTCTATATGAGTCTATTAAGGTGTTTGGTTTGCTAGGCTGCGCTGATGGTGTGGCTGCTGTGACTGTTGCTGTCACCTGACTTAGGCTGGCTGATAAAGTCACATGTGAATGTTCCTTGAACTTTGTCACATGCCTTGCATGGGTTGTCACTCAACCATGGCTCCTTGTTATTCCATCTTCCAGTAAAAGTCCAAGAAATCAAGGGAATYTGACTGGGACTCTTAGAGTATGCCAAGAGCAAGACCTGTGCCTGATGTAAATAGAGAATTTGTGCAAATGTAACATTTCAGAGAAGACATGAATTTTGTATTTCCTGTCTGTCCAAAGCTTTTCCTCTAGCAGATATTTATAGCTCTTCTAACAGGTTAATGTGGTAGCCCAGACGTGGGTTTTTGTCATAATGCAGTTTGCTAGGTTTGCACCCACCCACACACCCACCCACACACACACACACACACACACACACACATAAAGAAAACTTCCAATTTTTTCCAGCTGCCTTTTAGGCTTCCAGTAAAAAGCCTGCCCAAACAGTAAGTCCTGTGTGCAATTGTTCATGGTCTCGCTGTAGCTTGCTATGCGTGGTTGCAGTTGTTACTGTGCATTAGAGGTGCAAAAATCCCAGATCATTTGTGCCCCAGATGATATTGGAAAGCACACTCTATTCTGAAGGGGTGTTATTAGCAGCCTCTTCCCTACCAGGAAGCAGGTATGTTCAGCAGTGGAGTCAGTTTGTATGAAGATTTTAGGAATAAGTTTATTCCTGTAATATTCCTATACCACTTGGCAGCAGTGGGGCTCAGAAATGAAGAAATGAAAATGAAAAAAATAATTAGGCACTCTAGGAAGGTAGCTCTGAAAAGGAGAGATACTACTCCATGGAGATGGATAGATTTGGCTATGAGTAGGCTGTAGTTCCTGCTTCTTGAAGTCCACAGCTGAGTTCTGAGAATCATTATTGTTTGTTTTCTTCAGCAATAAGAAAATTACTCTGAGCAATCTGGTGTAGTGGAAGGTGTCCCTGTCCATGGCAGGGGGGCTGGAACAAGATGATCTTTAAGGTCTCTTTCTACCCAAACAATTCTGTGATTGAATTACCAATGTTTTTACTGTAGTTTACAWTTTTTTCCTTGCTACAAAACTAGCGAGCCAAGTTAGTAATTAGGCAATTSTACAGCAATCTGAAGAGCTTGTACCTCTGTTGGAAAGATATGAAATATAAGCATTTGTCAATATCAGCCAAAAGGTTTAGAAAAGGTTTTCACTCCATTTGAMATGATGAAAAGCAGCATGAACTACCTGTTAGGTTAAGACATTGGATTGTTATTCCTCATTCAACATTAAATGATCCTAGAAAATGATGCCTTCTTTCTCATATTTAACTTAAAAATCCCCTATTCTCCCCCACCAAGTCCCCACTCCCCCACCAATCTGAGGCCCAGTCTTTGTCTATACCTAGACCTATAAAAATYCCCCTTTTTTGTAGGAAAAGTGAACAAAGTAGAAAAGTAACAATGTTATCCTGAGCAATTAGGAGCCTTTGTTCTCTGGACTGCCTCGCTTTTTTCTTTTGAAACAATGCAGCCCTTTCACAATGGAAACAAAATGGGAAGTGGGTAAAGCAGACTGACAGCTCTTTTCTGTGCTATTTCATCTTCAGTGACTTAGTAATATCTCGGTACATTTGCATAAAACAAAGCTGATGTAATATTCCCATTGTTAAGAGCAAAATAAAATAATACATTTTTTCTAATTCTGTTACCTGAGAAAGTGTTTGTCTGCCTGATACCACTCCCAATTTTTTTAAAGAGCATAGCAATGGTTTCTTAAAGCTTTGGCAATCATCTCCCATGTATTAAGGGCTATTGCATTGTAAATAATGGAAAATTCTAGCTTGTTTTAAATGACACATTTCTAATTGCTTATTACTAATTGTGAGGAACTAAATCCAGAGAGGAATAACATGTACACAGACATGTGAACGTATATACATGCAGTGCAGTGTGGTTAATATCACCAAAACTTGGGTCTCACAGAGCCTAGAACAAGAAATCATCTCCCAAGTCAGTGAATTCAGGTCTCTACCTTTGAATGTAAATAACAGCTTTAAAGGAGTCATCTCCTGTAAAACTGTGTCAAACCTGTCATGTTCTGCTGGGAAAAAGCCTATGTGGCATTAACCTAAACTCCACTTTAATCAAAATAATGCTCTAGTAGTCAGTGAAATCCTCACACTCCCATCATCTCTGAGCAGACCCACCAAGCAAGTCCTTGAACAGTGTATATTTTTAGCCAATGGCTTGGTCGTAGGGCTTGGCTCTGGAGGTTAAGGAGGTTGACCRAAGTGGAACAACTGGACTAGACTTTGGCAGCCAAAGCCCACAGGAACTGTGTTCTTTGGGGAGAAGTAACACCTTTAAAATTGTTCTTTCTCTTTTCTGTTTGAAAAGATGATTGGGGTTTATTTACAGCTGAGAAGAGAGTTTTTTCTCTTACCTTTCTACACTGGGATATACTAAATATTTTAGATTTGAAGTATTTGGAGGCTGGAGCAGCTCAAAATCAGGAATTGATAACTGAAACTATGTGTCAGGGTTTGTTTCTGTTTTTCAGTCTCYTTTCTAAAACACATCTTATTTGACAGATTTGTTTTCACTGTGTGCTTCTATTTTACTTTCACATCAAGCCAAAAGGACGACATTTCTGCTGAGACTAGTACAGAGCCAATGCTGCGGCAGAAGGTTGGGGAAAAAAAWTGTTTTTTTACTGATTAGAGTTACTGATGAAATTCCCATGGCAGAGTGTTGRCCCTAGGATCTGCAAATGGAACATTTCTTGTGGTTGTCCTTCAAGCAAATCTCGGCTGTCACAGGCATGCCCATGTGGACAGTGTGGATTGGAATTGCCAAATGGAGACATCATTGGTTAGAAACACAACTTTGTTCACTGTTGATTTACTGAAGCTGATCTGGCCTCCCTAAGGAGCTGATACCATGGAGCTTCAGATGGCATCCTGAGAGTTATTTTCTATGCTGTATTTGTCCATGGGAATAGAAAGGGCTGGCCACTGCAGGCTAATTCTTCACCAAATGCCAGTCAGGTTAGATGTGATGCACATGATTTGGACAAAGAAGTAAAGGCAAGATGGTAACAGCCTGAAAACAGTCAAAGGAAACTAAAAGGAATGTCCACTTGCAGACTTGTTTTCCAACAGAACTAGTAGAAGTCCCATCTTAAGTGTCAACCTGACAAAACATACCTGAATTTGTTCACTGGAGTTTGCCCTGTTATTGTGTGTTCCTTTCTACATGTCTATTTTCTGTGTTCCAATCTACACCGAACTTTTGCAGTTTGTGAAGCCACCCCAGACTCTGAAGTCTTGTTTTGCTGATGGAAGTAAATGAAAATSCCTTTAAAGACAGGACAGCCTGCTGTTCTTTACCCCATTCTCTGCTTCTGCACACAGCACCATGAAAAGAGTCTTTATGGGAAGCTGATCATGTTTGCTGCACTTAGAAGAAAAAAAAGCATTTTGTTCATAATCCACTGTCACACCAGCACATTGTTTTGTTTCTGATGACGGGCATTTTCCTAAATCTGTCATCTGCAGTCAGACAAACATATTTTGCAGCTTGCATTGCATCTGAGATGTTACTGCTTCACATAGTATTTTGTTCCTTTGGCTTCAGGCAAACAAATAGTTTGATGCAAAGGAAATAAAAGAAAAATATAAGACAGAAGGTTGCTATCAAGGTCAGAATAAAGATCAGCTGTCTCAAAACAACCTCAACACCCCTTCTGTTGCCTTCACTAGGAATCACAAAATAGGTGTTTGCTGAGGGTAGTTCAGTGAAAAAAAATCTCATTCAACTCTGTGATGATACTGCTAGGGGATAACTCTAGAACAGAAACAGAAATCTAGAGAAGAAAGGAAAGCAAAATAGACCTGAAGTGAAGGAGTCTGAACCCAGGATAGGGGGAGAATGTAGCCTGAAGGCAAAATAGAACAGAAACCAGATTGTGAGGATCACCAATCTCTGCAGTAATGCAAGGCGACTGTGTTTCTCTTATTAGGTCCGTTCAGTGTTTGTACAGAGGACCTTTCTTTACAGCTCCAGCTTTCTACTACGTTTTTCATCCTGCCAGCCCTGTCTTGCATACCTGGCCCAGAGCAAACAAGGCAAAAAGTCTAATTAACTTCTGACATCCCAGGAGTAAAAGAGGCCACTGTATCCTCACCAGAGATGTCACTTTGATTACACTGCA